CAATGTCAAGAATGATTGAGAGATGGATTGGACTATCAGATATATCAGCGCGAGAAGCGAGTGGGGACAAGTAGGATTCAGCGATATTGATCAATAACGCGAAGCCGTTGAACCTATCAATTCAAAGAGTAAGAAACAAACAAGTGTAAGAAGAAAACCGAAGAGAACATGGGTCGAGTCGTTTCAAAAGGAAACATCCAGACAGGAAAAACATACGACTAACACAGGTAAGAAACCGTTCAAATGCAGAATATGAGAGAAGGATTTCGTTCAGTCATGGATCTGAGTAAATATACGAGGATTCACACAGGTAAGAAGACGCACAAATGCAAAATGTGCCGGAAAATTTCCACCGTTCATCGCATCTGTATGAACATATGAGGACTTACACAGGTAATAAGCCGTAGAAACGAAATATGCGGGAAGGGTTTTGCTCAGTATCGACTGTGCATAGACGTATGAGGACTTACACAAGTGAGAAACTGCAAGAAAAAATTTTCTCGTTAACAAGGTCTGAGAATTCACATGACGACTCATGATAATGACAGGCCCAAATTAGTTGCACTCTATGCAATAAAGAATTCCTGCGCAAACCCCACTTGAAATCATTGATGAAGAATCATATGATGGGCCGATAGAAATAAGCATTATCATTTTCGCTTTTTTATATTTTTTATAGGTTTCAATTCATTTTTTCTCATTATACTGTTAGCAATCTATTGCTTTGTAGGTATCGTTCCTCTACAATATTATTTCTTTTACATTAGTGAATAAAATTTCTGTTTCTCATGCGAGGACTTACAGAAGTCGGTTTTGATCAAAACTAAGAATCAAAATTGAAAAAAGAGGTTTGACCAAAATTGAGAGTCTTAATTTCTCTCTTTCTTTTTTCTTTTCCAAAAAAAACGGTGAATATATTTCTTGGAGAAAAATGATTAAGTCCTTTTAGGTACAAATACTTTAGCCAAGAGAAGTTGAATGCTTGACACTGAGTTCAATGCTACATTGAGAAATATTTTTCTTTCTGGTAATTTCATTGCTTCCAAAACGGAAGTTGCAGCACTGTCAGGGGGTTGCAACATTGCAGCATTGTCCAATACAGTTTAAATTCCAGCAAAAAAAAAAAAAAATCTGATTAAAGAGTAAAAGTGGGCACTTATATAATTTTAATACTGATGTTCCTACAATAACAGTTGATATGAGATTAATCACAGTAATTCCACTGAAAATGATATTTGCTTCTTAAAATTGCTTGCACATTTTGAAAGTTATTCAGTAAGACGAATAGTCTAACACATTTTATATTTGCTTTTTTATATATAATGTTGGTCAAGAATAAACTGAAATATACAGGGTCTCTGTAGAATCACTTTTGAACTATTTATCCGGTCAAACAATATAATGGTCTGAAAAGTTTAGTCTGCCAATTCTATAGACAATCTTATAGACATTAACAAATTCATTTTCTGCATTTTAAAAAACTGAAAATTTGAGGAGTAAAAAAACTGAATTTAAATACAGCCGAGAATTTATACATATAACAGTATAACGTCGTTAAAAAAGAAGATATGTTTAATAACAGAAATCACATAAGTTGCTACAGTTAATTATAACTTCTGTTAACTAGAAATCCATGCAAGGAAATCCAAAAACAAACCATAAAAATTATTTTTCTGCAGTTTAATATTAAATGGGAAAAGTTCATCCTGTCACTGAACCATTTTGACAGCAAATATCACCTTTTCGTTAGACGTTATGATTTTAATATGACTTAAAATTATGGAATAAAGTATTCAGGTACTTGTGCAGGATTACCAAAATTAAAGCTATGTTCAAATAAAATTTTCACAATATCTAACAGACAGGGTGATGGAATCTTGCAAAATTAAAGCAGTGAAGAGAATATAAACTAACAATGGACAATATAAGAAAAATATCTCAGTATCTACACCGTGGACAACGATATCCATTATACCTAAACAATGAACAATACCAAAGGGCAGCCATAATTTCATGGTATCCCCGATGGAGCTTACAAAACTACTCCCTAATCCGAAACAGTTTAACTATTCGCTAAATACATTTCCTGTAGCATATCCCCAACTCAACGACCTTCAACTAACGACCAATCAACTCAACAATCTATCAGCAGTCAACTATCGAAGACAACGACAAGGAATTTTTTAGTTGATTATATTGTTTGTTTATTGCATAACTCATTTATCACTACCTACCAATTCACCGTGTAATATACGGATATTTATTTTACACCGTTTTTGCTGTTATCTAGTAAAATAGTGTAAGAATAGTATTACCTCAAGAATGAAGTCATTTACGATAATACAGAGCACTTGGGGTTTTTCGAATCTGATATCTTTATTTTAGTCAAAAATCACTGATCACGTTACGCATTGGCGAACGCATAAAAAAAATTTCATTCAATTTGTTTGGATTAACGTGAATTTTTATAAAAATCCTCAATTTTTAGGCTATTTTGGTCAATACATGACATGGTTTTTTCCAATTTTGATCATCTTTTAATAAATCTGACATTTTTTTTGCTGTCCAAAATCACTGATCACGTTGCACACTAGTGAATGAAACAAAAAAACTTTATTCAAGTAATTTGAATTGATATGAATTTCTTAAAAAGCCCAAATTTTAAGGCCAATTTCGTGATAATTTAAGCTTTTAGCCAGTTTTGATTAGTGTTTTTCGGATCTGAGATTTTTTTACTAATCAAATACTTTTCACATTTTCAAAAAATGCTCAGGATAGAAAACTGTCGTATTTTCCACAAGATCGATTTGCTTTGCAAATTCTTATTGCATTCAAATTATCATTGACATCAGTGTCCCAAATAAAGCATATAAATTTTAGCTATAATTAATTTTTTCTTTAAAAAAAAATTGTAGATATGCAAAAGACTAGAAAAAATTTGTCATCAGTTCTTTTCCTTTTTTTTGAAAATTTTGTGAGGTTTGATACATTCTCATTGAAATTAACCATTATTCTTCTATTCATTTGTCGCATTTGAACTTTTGTAGAATAAATAATTAAAATGTAAATGAAATTTATGAAATATATTTCCAAAAATTCATTTTTAAAATGTTTAAAATGTAAAATGTAATGAGTAAAATGATAGCAACATTGAAATAGTTAATTGAGCAAATATTTTGCATGCATTGAAAACTTGCGATTCAACATGGACTAATTAATAATTATCGGTCAAATTCTAATTAAAGGACGTATAAAGAGAATGAGCAAAATTATCCATTGAGTAGTTGTATGCATCATAATTATAGTTAATGCAAAATTGAATTGAATTAAAAAAAAGTTTATTTTCAAAATTAACAAATAAAAGGATATTCGAAGTAAAATGTGTTCAATACCATTGATTCATACTCGTCCTCCTCAATTACCTTTTTCCTTCACAGTATCTTCATAAGTTTATCGTGCTGTAATTGTTCAGGAAATCTTGCAACTGCTTTTATATTCTTTATGGGGAAAAATGTTCTATCAATAACAGAAAAAAAAACTTTCAAATGATCCAAATGACCCATGATATGATATGCTTATCAAATGTGACAATAACTACTCCACCATACTCTTGTTTCAATAATTTCTTGTTCTGCTAATAACGAAAAAAAAATTTTATAAATGCTGAATGATGATACCTTCATAACATCCGATAGATAAGCTCTGTGTTCTTAAAACTATTTAATAGAATGGATGTTCAGGATTCAATTTAGTGGTAATAGAAGAAAAAATGTAAATTTCAAAATTTCATACTCATCAATCATAAAATGATAAAGCATATATGCCGTTTTGAAAAAAAAAAAGATCCATTTCATTTATACACATACATGAGGCGAGAGATGGAAAGCTCTTTAATGATTTGCATATTTCAAAAAAGAAGTGAAATAAACTCTTCATAGAAAGGGAAATTTCATTTTTTTTTCCATTTTCATATTCTGAAATGGCATTAATTTAAAAATTCGCAATGTTATTAATGAACATACAAAAAAATTTGAAAAATCAACTAACAGTACTAATAAGATCTATGGATAAGTAATATATTAAGGTAAAGTTTGTTTTTTAAATAAAAAAAGCTAACAACGGATCATTATTTATTTCAATATAATCCTATCTTTTCTTTAGTTTTATTATAGATTTAGAGCATTTTCTCGTGAATCAACTATCAGAAATACTTTAGCTCTACCACAATTTGCTGAAAAACTGTTCTGCTGAACATGGACGTTCTTCAAAAGATAGGCACCTTTTTGCACAAAACTCCTGCGATCTCTCTTTATCCTGAAGATTATCTCTTCCAAAACCATGCATCGGTTCCAAGAGATGAGAGATGTAATAAATGAGTAATACAAATTAGGATTTTAACATATGGTATACTACTGTACCACTTGCCAAAGACCATACTTCACAAAGAAGGAAGCAATATCAGTACCACTGAAATATAAAGAAATCTAAATCTTGCGAATAAGCATGACTCATTTACCAATCAAAGCTATAACACATTGCTAACTTTTGTAAAAATGAAACAGTTTGGAAATCCAAGCATTATTTATAAAAAATCATTTTGAGCAAATTGTTGCGAGATTGTTCAGTTTCCGCAAGAATCTCAATTATGGATTAAGCAAGATTTGCTAAAAGGAATGAAGTCTTTCCTCTTTTATACTCATAAGGCTTATAGCAGCGTTAATGTTTTAAAAGAGTCAAATTCGATTCTTCTACACTTCATATAGCCATTATTCTATGACTATCGCCCTTTTAATAATGGAAGAAAAAATTGTAAATCGAAAGATAAGCTGTATCAAGATTTACATAGCAGAATAAAGAACTGTCACTTTGACATCAGTAATCTCGTCATTAGCAGAAGCATGAATGAGATCCATCATTGTTCTTATATATCATTAAGGACCTAAAGCAGCTATTTCCATTTCCACTGAGATATTATGAATAAAGGAATACACCTGTATTCCTTAGTTTTCATTCACAACTTCTTGACGGAGACGGCTGTTTTTCTCTGTTGTCCTATCTGCATTTAATATTTTCTTCTGTAGTTCTAGAAATGACTAAAGTGAGTTTCATAATTGGTTAAGCAATAAAAAAACCTAAAACATCGTCATTAAACCAATGAAAAAACTTTCCAACATTCCTGCCTTTTATCCCTTCTCTTTCCAGTACATATGAAATGAAATCAATACCTCAAATTATATCAATACAGTAGAATTTTTAAGAAAGCCTTCGAGATTAGAAATAAAGAATCCTTACCTCTTTTTGGTACATTTATAATGCTAAAAGTTATTAATTGATGTTGTGCACCTCAAACGAGAAATGGCAGAGAATTTTCATCAAGTGATGATTCTTCCAACATAAATACAATAGCGTGTCCAATGCAACTGTACGATAATTAAGCTATTTGATCAACTGCTTCGGTAACCTAAAGTTTGTCATATATTTAAACCTTGTATCATATCATGAATTAAAACATAATCTCATATTCTTAATGATAAAGTTATTCGATAAATTAGTTATTCGATAAATCAATAAATACATTAGAAATATGACATATAAGAGATTAAAGCAAATAAAAAAATCAATCTTTAAAACAAAATACCTATTAACAAAAATCGATTCATCCATCTACTAAGCAACTTCTTGTGGTATCTGAACAAGACCAGCGGCTGTAATATTAGTACTCGTATTGGTATTTCATTCAAACTGGTATTCGTAAAAAAGTAAAAATTAATTATTTTTGATACTATGATTTATCTAAGGGTGCATATCCTGTAAATTTAGAAAGAAACAAATGTGGAAGGCTCTAGTTCATTTCTCATCTCTCTTGCCATTCATTACTTTCATACAATTTTGAACTATCTTGGTAAATCACTTTGATATGACAATCATCTCGTGAAAGTGCATGCAAAACATTTTTTTCGTATTAGTTGTCCTTTCTGAAATGTGTTCATCCTTAAAAGTAAGCAGTAAATTACTCAGTGTGATTTTATTAAAAAGTTGATCGTATTATTTATACTGAGGTACATAATTACTGATGATTAAGCAAATCACTTGCAAAAAGTAATGAAACAGCTGACAATTAAATGACGAAGTATGAATGGCATAAAATGGATGGATCAGAACGAGCTGTTTACTAATTCCAACTGCAATTTTAATTAATGTGCAAACTTTTTACGGATTAAATTCATTGATCGCATTGATGATAACATCGATAAGGGAAGGAAAGAAAGGATCAATGCAATTTCTTTTGTTAATGATTATTTCGCATAAGAAAAACTTAATTCTTTTTAACATTTTGTTGAAAAAATAAAATGAGAATTGAATTGATACGTTTACATTTAAACTGACCGTAATAATATCTCTCATCTGATCAAGGAAGACCTGCAATTAAAAAACTTATTAATTCTTACTTTCTTTTTTCTTTTCCTTTTTTGCCACATTGTAGAACGACTTTCTTCCGGGATAATTTTAATAATAATTTTTCATAAGCTGTGAAAATTGATGATAAAGAAGTTAAGAAGTGTCAGTTTACTTGGCTGAACAATATTCGATAATTTGGAAGCATCAAAATGTGGCTTTAAGGCATGTAAATCTATAATAAGCAAATCTTGTCACAACTGGGAATAATTGCGCTTCATCGGATGATAATGATTATCTTTATTAGTCAACTCTTCAATCATCTCTCTGGAATATTCAGAATAATATGAACTGAGAACAGTTTCTAAATGTCTGCTTGCCATCAAAATACAGTAAAAGGAAATTATTTTATTGAAGAACTAATAAAGAATAAAACATGCTGTTAGGGATAAAACACATAATAAACCATTTGATGATACAGTACGGGACGACGAAACGAATAAATATGGAATGTTTCAAAAAAAAAAGCAGCTAATTGCTTTTGTAATGAAATAAAGTGAAACGATTCAAAAAAGAAGCGTCTGATAAAAACACGAAAATCAAATTTCATCCATTTATTCACATATTCAAGAACGGAAAATTGAAGATGCATAAAATACAGTTGATCTAAATAAAAGATTTTTCGTCCGAGAAAAACTAGC